CGGCGAGGTAGCCCTGCTCGGCGCCGCGCGCGCCCTTGCCTTTCCCCGCTTTCACCTTCTCCGTGATCGATCGATATTCGATGGTGACTTCCTCCAGGACGTCACTCCTTGTCAACCTCTCCTTGTGTCTGAAGGCGTGCTTGGTCATAGCGTACTCGTTGGAGAGGGCATCCAAGAAGAGGTGCAAAACGAAGGTTTCGTTAACATCAAGCCCCCGTTTCGAAAGGGACTCTGCGGTGGCGAGCATACTGTTGAGAGCATGTTGCGGATTCTCTGCCATCGGGATCTTCTTGGATGTCAGGGGTTTTAACTCATCCGCAGGCTGCATGGACGATTCTGGGTCGTACAACCCCTTCAGCTCACGGAGCGCCCCCAGGGGCGACTCAGCTCGCTTCATTATTGTCCTGTCTTTCTCGTCCTTGAGAGCTCCACGGAGGAAATTCCACGCGTGGAAAGCGAGCTCTACTTTGTCGTGCGGGTAAAACCTGGACAGTTGGACTTTGCTCTGCCCACTGTTTACGGGGATCTCCGCCCCCCCCTCCTCGAAAAGCTCAAGAAGGTTTGCTGTGTTCGCTGCCATCAAAAAATCCTCTAGCCACGAAGAAAAGCTCTTGGCGTCTCCGCTGAACGTGGGCGCTGTGTACTTCACGCTTTGGTATCCCACGCTCGCACTACCGAAGACAGCAGCACCACTTCCCATGGCGCTGCTGAAACAAGCTTGATTGTGAGCAGCGGCTACTATCACCTCTTGGGGGTCTGAACCCCCTACTTCGCCGCTGTGTCGTCCCGAAGGACAAGACTCCCTTCGCAGGTCCGCTGCCCGCGCGCTCCCGTGGTACTGCACGGTCCCAAAATGACCTGCAGTGCTTGTGGCGACGCTCTCCACGGCGCCGCCGCTTTCAGCTGCGCCCTCCGTGGCACCGCCGGACTTCTCCTCTATACGTGCAGCAAGTCCTCCGACCAGCTGCACCAGCTGGCCCATTTGCTGTGTCAGCGAACTGATCTCAGACCGCATGCTGTCGATCTGCTCGCTGCTATTTGTGTCTCCTGCCTGCGAGCCGTCCGGAGTGGTCCCTCCGGTTCTGCGGCCCGCCATCCCTAATGGACTCCCTCGAGGGAATAAACACTAGTGTGTTGGTATGTCCGTGCTTGGGAGGAGAAGACACGCTTTAACTCTCTCTGATTAGGCACCCGCGGGAGCGAGGAAAGGAAGGGAAGAGGTGGCCCTCCCGAATTTGGGGAAGGGGGCCCACACATAGTAGCCTTTTTCAGGCATACGCATGCTCCTGTCTACGTACCCCCCCGTGCTGCTAGCAGATCTACCATGCTCGTATCCAGACACACGAACACTTTCAGCTGGCTACTTCCAAAATGCAACAAGTACCTGAACAGCACAGCGGGTTACCCACGGTCTGTTAAAGTTTCATTCCCACAAAAAACGGGTCAACTACTGCCGTGTACTCCGTTTGCAGGCAAAACAGACAAGCTCAAGTTATTCTTTGCATTCACTCCAGAGCACAGCAGTAACAAAGAACACAACTCTACACGTACAAAGCTCCCGGCACAAAGAGCAGACTGCAAGCAGTAATACTTGTCTCCTCCACTTCTTCTCACGGAAAGAACACAGTGGTGGGAAGCGGGTCTATCCCCGCGCACGTATACGCCTATCACTTGTCGGCATGCGCACAACAAGTCTCGGGGGCGCGCGCAACCTTGCCGTCCTATCGACAGCCTCGACACAAAACGATGCGCCTTTTTCGTTCATGACAACGGCGCTCCCTGCTGTTGCCGCCGCCGCATCTCCAACATGCCCACGACATGGTCCGCTATCGCGAGGGAGGCCGTCAGCCCGGGGGACTCTATCCCCATCACGTTCACCAGACCGTCCACCCCGTGCACGTCCCTGCCCTGAATCACGAAGTCCGCCACCCCTCTGAAGTGGCTGGTCCCGCGCCGGGGAACAGGAGGATGCCGGCGGTGTTCTTCATCTGGTTCTTCTCCGAGAGCTCGGTGATGACCGGCGTCGTCGTCGTCGTCGTCGTTGTCATGGTGAACGACAACCGAGGGACCATCGGGCCCGACAAGCTTCGGCCGTATCCCGCTGTAGTCCGGCACGAGCTTGCTCTCCTCGACCCCGGGCCAGTACCTGGGAAAAGAGGTAGCACCCACACGAGATTTATTTAGCATCCTCGTCGAAAAATAGTCTGTGCTGCTGTTGTTAGACCTCAATACTATGAAGTGTAACATACCACATGACAACTGCAACAGCAGCAGACACATCAAAATCAGCAATTACAAAGTGGAACATACGTGTGAGAGCACTCCACACACGATTGAAGAGACAGCTGAAGCGGTGTTTTGGTGGTGTGTTGCATAGACTACATAAACCATGAGCAACGCATTGAACAGACCATCTTCAGGGAGGGCAGAATGATCATAGGAGATGGGGGAGAGGGTGGAACGGAAGGGGTGCACCACGCTGGTGAAACGTCCGGAGTGAGAAACACAGATACACACCACCTCCATGGAATAAGGGCTGTTGTTTGTTGACACAGATTGGATGTTTTCCGAGTGATTGTTTTCTTAGGCTAGTCAGCCTATGCGGTCAACAACCAATTGACACAAATTCAGCACAACAAATAAAGCTTGTCGTTGGTCATCCGGTTAGTGCGTTCAGTGTCAAACGGGCACACGCGAACAGACTGACGCATTTTCCGTAGTCAGTCGGGTTTGCGAGGCCGATGCTGACAAAAATACAGGCACACAACAAGATGAGGGTCCGAGCCTGGTCACACTTCTTCGTCTCTATTTTGCATCCATCTCTACCGGAGGATTGATCAATCCACCTTGTGCTACGTACATATTCATCTCAACAGCCATATGTTATGTTCGATGTACAGTAAGGACTTGAAAACACGACTCTTGTTACCTGCGGATGGCGTTGCAGAAATCCACCGAGCGGCTTGGGTCCACCCCGTAGTCGAACCCGTCCTTTTCGAAAGCCTCCCTAGAAACCCCATGGTGTTGCCGGTGCTGGTGTGGTTGGGTCGTAGGTCTCGGCAGCCATTCAACGTCAGGGCCGAACCGCACCTGTGCCGGTGGATACGGAATAGAGATGCCGCGGGATTGGGATGCCTTGTTTGGTGTAGTCAGCACTATGTTCGGATCTACGGAGATCTAGGGGGCTTCGTGTATCATATTGTTGGTATGTGTTGCTTGGAACGGCGGAGCTCCATCTAGTACGCATGGGCAGGCTTGCCCTGTTGAACTCGGAAATAACCAAAGATGATTAAGTAAACCTTTTCTCCACGGCCTCTGACGCTGAGCTCCCGCTACCCAACTGCTTCGACGTATTGCAGCATACGAAAGGAATGGGTCCTGACCGTAGGCCGTAATCATTGAGGCGGAGTTGGACCGCGCACACCTTCACATGCTCCAAGGCAACACAAAGAAATGGCGTGGGGCGTCTTCAGCGGGAGTAGCTTCGTGAGTTAGGGAACCACATTCACGTTAGCAGCAGCAGCAGCAGCAGCAAAAACAACGACAACAACAACAACAACAACAACAACAACAACAACAACAACAACAACAACGGCAACGATGCCAACAAGGACAACAAGGCGCTTTCTTCACCTGTCCCGCGAGGTCTAAGGTGGCATGCACACCTAGCCCTGCCTGGTTCGGTTCAGGCAACGGGTACACCAGGTGGCGGAAAGGGGGACGGCCTGGGCGGGCCGACAGACAGACAGACAGACAGACACGTGTGTGTACAAAAGCAAGACGTGTGTTCGTACGCGGAAGCAGGAACATGTCGCCGTGCGCATAATCCACGTCAGTCAGACGCGCAACAGCTCAATCAAGTGAGGTAGCGACCGTGTGTGGGATACAGCGACAGGTTGAAGACTCAAAAAACAATCGGCTGAAAACAGTGGTGCTGGAAGCTTGATTTACAGGGCACCACATTCAGGAACACAGAGAAAAGGTAGCGGCGGCGGCGGCGGCGGCACCAGTATCAGCAGCGGCAGCCCCAAAATTGACACCACCACGTACTGAAAATGCGCCCCGGGTGCTTGTTCCCGTCGTCCCGGCGTCGTAGAGTACCGCATCAACCATGTTGTGATAAATCAGGGGAGGGTACCGCGTCCGTTCGGCCATTGTTGCCCCCCTCACAAATTCGGTAGCAGATAAATTTACATCGAAAAAGAAGCGCCGAAAAATCTCCTACGGCTCTTGCTGTATTCCGAAAAAACAAAAAAACGAGGGACGAAAGAAAGACCTCGAGGTGTGACATCACTTCAACAAACATACGCGTCTGCCTCGTGGTGGGGACTGACTTTGCCGGGGCGAAGCCTCACCACCGCCGCCGCTTCCCTCACCACCAGGATAGGAAACAAGCCGAGCTTTCGCGACCATCGCCCCGGGGCCAGAACGCGGGGTGGGGCGCACATCACGACCACTATCCCTACAACGAAAAGGAACGGTACATTGTTACCACCCACCAGCATATCGGAAGTAGTTGCCCTTGGCGAAAAACGCCTCTGGGAAGGAATCGGGGATGGAGCCCGAAACCCTCCGCGCCAGACCGACCGCGCTCAACCCGGCGCAGTTGACCACCGTTCGGCATCGGAGATCCACGCCCTCGGCTGCCACCAAGATGCCCCCCTCTGCTAGTGCCTAGGGGTTGCAACGACGGAGGGCATTGCGTAAAGATATAAAAGGAGGTCGTCCGTTTGTCCTTGGAGCTGTGACAGTAGCAGTAGTTCCAGACGAGGTTGCTGATTCCACACGAATGCGAGGAATTGAGGCGATGGAAGAGTGTTGCACGTTTCAGCTCTAGTTCACAGCCGACCTTGCCTAGGCAAACGCGTGTGAACTAGGGTCTGGATAACATATCTCGAAGTGTCCCGTTGTGTGTACAGCACTTCTACACCCATCCAACAAGCTTTCCCGGTCCTTACTCGAAGACACAGCAGCAATAACGTGTTGTCTTGTTGACTTCAAGCAGGCTCGAACCCACGGTAGCAAGAATTCAATAACAGCGGCAGCCACAATAGCAGCAGCAGCGGCAGCAGCAGCAACGATGAGGACAACAACATGAACAACAGAAAAAACAACAACAACAACAACAACAACAACAACAACAACAACAACAACAACAACAACAACAACAACAACAACAACAACAACAACAACAACAACAACGGCAAGCCGTGGTACCTCGGCCCAGTGAACAGGTGTGCGAAGAGACACAACCGCGCCGGCAGCTTCTGCGTCTCCCTGCAGCGAGAGGGTCAGGGCGTGGCTGTCCACGATACCCGTGCTAGGGGAGAACAAGGCCTGGTCGCGACATCGTGATGTGATAGTCGTCCCGCAACGCAAAGGGCCGGTGAAAAAAAAACACGAAGAATGGAGGCAGAGCAGAGGTAGACGGGAAGGGGGGGGGGGCGTAGTCGTTAGACCATTGACCTCGCATCCCTACAAAGCCGGGGCGAGCACGCCGGGTTCTCACCGGACCAGGCTCTCACATCACCAAGCGCGAAGCGCCGTGAGATATTCGGCGA